ATTTTCTTCAACGGAGAGTCTCCAGACTGATTAGCGAGTGAAAGCTTGTGAGATCGGGATGGTCTCACGAGGCTAGATTAATGTATGTTCAAAAGAGATCTCGGAGACCTAGAGGTTAGAAACAGTGGGGCATCTCCCTAAAGAATGAGTTGAATGCACAAGATGAATTTCACCACTTCAGGATTATGAGGGGAAGTTCTATTGCCTTTACCAGGTTTTCATCTAAGATTACCCTCCATTTATCTCAATCCATCTTACTATCAAAACTCAACCAATATTATTGTGAGACATGCTTAAGATATGTTCTCTATTTGTTTTTATCTTATATATTTTAGGATTAGGCAAAACAAAAGAGTCTACTTTGTTCCTCTCTGATCAGATGATTTAGATTAGATTAGATTCAACTTTATTGTCATTACGCAGGTACAGGTACAAGGCAACGAAATGCAGTTTAGGTCTAACCAGAAGTGCAATAGCAGCAAGTGTAGGATAAATAATGGTTCCATAAATACAGGACATGGGTTTCTACTGAATAGGTATAGAGGTCAATACCATAAATAATGAATATAATATATAGATAATTAGTGTTATGAACTAAATTTAAAGCTGGATATGTACCGGATATAGTATACAGGTGGATAATACTATAAAAAGGGTTTTTACAGTTATGTACAATAGCATATATACAGATGGGTTTTACTATAAAATGAATAAATAAAGTTTGGCCAGAAGCTATCTAAATTAAAGTGCAGTGGAAGGTAATTGCATATTACAGTTAAAGTACGTTATTGCAAATGTATATGTAAACATGATGAGGGTTTGCTACGAAGATATGGAGTGTAAAGAAGAAATCAATTTGAATCAGTAATAAGAATATTTTCTTAAACTTTCTAAAAAAAATTTTTGTCAAATTAATTTTTTTCAAGCTTTTTTTTTAACAGTTTTTTTTAGATTGAGTTTCACAAACTGCTTTATTTTTAAATTGTGCTTTGCAGATCACATTCTCTTTACTTCAGGCACAATACAAATGCTTAGACCAATAGAGATGTTTTCTTAATTCCTCACTGCAGAGAAAAGCCAACCGTCCATAGTGAAGAGAAGAAGTTCTGTAAAATGTTGAGAAGAATTTTTTAAAACTATCTGAAAATGAGAAATTAGATTTTATTTTTATTTTTTTGCTCAGAAGAAGTTTTTCTAAGCTTTCTTTCTGGATTAGATATTTAAACATTTCTATTTACTGGTTTACAGGTTCTTTGCTTCTAACGATAATGGAACCAAATTCACTCCATACAAAATATATTTTGGCTTATAGCAAATGATACCAAATACTGCATGCAATCTAAATACATGGCTGCTTAATCAATTAAGGAACCGGCGAAAGAATGCAAGTATCGGCTGATGCAAACATTAGCACCATGTATCAGCTTACCTCTAATTTGCACCAGACTACAGTGTTTATGGTTTTAACCAAGTAAAATGAAGTAAGATGATGTAAAATGATGTAAAATGACGTAAAATGACGTAAGAATATTTCTCTTATACAAAATAAACCAAATTCTGACATTATAGAAATATATCATTAATAGCATTAATCCTGACAAACACTGATAGTATAGTGACCCTGAGATTCAAAAACATACAAAACAAAATCATGACTGCATAGCGAAAAGTACTGCACAGACAAAAGGCTTGCAAACACATTGAAGATGGACTCCCACCAGTGGTCTGGATTTCTCCAATTATGCACTGCTACTTTGAAGTTTCTCTGCCCCTCCACTTTGCATGTGTTTAGCTTGTGTGTTAGCACACATTATGTATTTTCAGTTTGTTTAGTCCTCTCTATTGCCTGTGATTGCAAAATTCCTCTTTAGTGGCGTCTGTGTCTTAGTGTCCTTTTTGTATATGCAGTAGTTTTTGAAATTGCTGCTTATTTGCAGGACGTTTGCACCCCTTGGCTGAAAAGAAACAAAGTGCTTTACCTCTAGAGTTTTACATTTCCCATCCAGGCGACTACACAATCTCTGATAGTTGGCTGTGAGGATGCTCAGTTCTGAACGCAATGCATCATGGGCCGTGGGAGGGGCTTTGCCTATAAAACTGTTAACGCTGTCAGTCAGGAGTTTGACCTTTTGCTCCTTGGAGTGGACCTCCTCCTGGGCCCTCTAGAAAAAAAGATGGAATAAAGGAAAAACAATTTATTTAAGCAAGATTTTTTATTTTTTATAAAAACATGTAGAATAATTTCCAAGTTGGGTTTGGAGCAGAAATAAGAGAAGAAATGAAGGATGGTGGGAGTATAAAAGAAGCAAAGGAAGGAGGATAAAATATGAGTGAAATAAGGAGACTGAATCTGATTTAAACTTCCTTTTTTTTCCTTTGTGCTCAGCAGGGTGAGAGGCTTCCTCTGCCGAGGCTGTGGGAGATATCACAAGGCAAACAGTGCCAGAGGGAGAATTCACAAATCTATTATATTCAAGTTATGCAAACTAAACAAAAAAGATATTGGCAGTGGATGGAAAGTCAATGCAATTTTATACAGAATTCAGGAATCTGGGGAGTAGATGGAAGGCACTGACGAATAGGACACAAAGCAGTGAGTGAAAGACGGATTTCAACAATAAAAGCTCGGAAGCCTGGAGGCGTTATGGGGTCTGAATTATTCACATTTAGGACGGGAGTGACGAAGAGGAGGGAGAGTCCGTCAGACCTGAGGCCTAATTGTAAATCTAGCTCAACAGAGTGATTTCACAGAGAAGCTCTTTCTGATTGATAAATATCCAGCAACCATCAATATGGTAGAATCAACTGCCACAAAGTTATACATCTTAAAGGTTACTGCAAGAAACACAAATTCATTTTAAATACCAAACTAGCAAAGTGGACAAGAAAACATTGTTTTCAACACTAAAGAATAAAAAAGCCGAATTATTGTGACGTGCATTCATATCGTCTGCCCGTGTCCAATACTTTGTTGTAACATCCGGATTTTTTATTCAGAAGTCTTTCATTAGCTCATCCTTTATCTACCTCCATAAGATTGGAGCAGCTTCTCTATTCCTTCTGAAGAAAAGCTTCCCCACAGGGTAATGGAGCCACCACCTTGTTTCAGAGATCTATTCTCATAAAAATTCCACATCAAAGTTAGGCGCTATTTTTAGGCCTGTCTGCTACACAAAATCTCAAATACATCAAAGTTTGCGATTTTAAGAGTCCCTGTAAATAAAGAGTAACTTCCAGTATTGATGTATCATGACTGATGTTTCTTTTCGTCCAAATAACCTGAGTAAACACAAAATGGCAACTTCATTTATGAAAGAGTGAGACATTTTAATCCAGATGGATTATCTGAAAATATGAAAGCAACCCTTTAAATCTGACGCTAAACCAAAGAATTTCATTAAAAGATCAGTGTCAAAGTCTGGAGCTTCAGGACAGGGTGAAACTAATATAAATAATGCAGCTAAATATTCTACTCTCTACCAGACCGTTCTGAATTTTAACATCAGGCCATCAGTTAACCAATAGCCTGAACAAATTTGGGATGACTTAACGGGACAGTGACCAAAATCAGGCTGAAAAACCTTCCAACACTACTAAATTAAAACTATTCTGCAAAGAACTTGGTGTTCTTTCCAAATGCTGTTGGCACAAAAAGCTGCCAAGGGTTGTTGGGTTAAGGGGGAGTTTGCTTTTTCTTTTTTTCCCCCTCCTCTCAGCCAGGCTTGGTTCAGAGAGTTGTTTTTCTCTAATAAACAGATTGCTGCGTCCGAAATTATTGTATAATTTGAAACATTTGACTTTGACCGAAAGCAAAAACAGAACAAATTTGTGAGGGAAGAAATGTTTTTTTAACTGACCCCTTACCCTGTGATGCATTCAATAATAAATAATCTTGTGTGGAGATCCAACCGAAGACAACACACGCACTGAAACAACTCTGTTATGTCCCAAAATACCTCCTGCCCCCTGACAACGACAGTACACGTCCACATGCTTAGACTTCCTGACAATTCAATTCAAAAATACTTTATTAATCCCAAAGGGAACTTAAATGTTGCAGTAACTTTTTGTCAAATTGTAGGTGCTGATAGCTGTAAGCAGGAAGGCTCATCTGTAGTGGTGTGTATTGCACCAGGTCTGGAGAAGCCTCTGATTGAAGACACTTTGTTGCAGTTTATAAAACCTTCTTAAGAGGATGCTCAATGCTATGGGGTGCCCCCAGGGACATAAATCAAAATTAACTTCCATATACACATATTAAATTAAACTCTTCCATGTAATATACTGAAAAAGCTGCATAAACACCAGTGAAACGCTCTCACATAAACTAGTGAAAACTTTGACCTCTTATATAGCCTACTGAAAACCTTGCACAAACACTGGTGAAAAGCTTAAATAACCTACTCAAAAGCTCTCAAACAAAGTAGTGAGAACTGTTGATATAAACTAGTGAAAAGCTTTACCTTTCATACATACTACTAAAAAGCTTTCATATACACTACTGAAAAGCTTTCATACATACTACCGAAAAGCTTTCAAACACACAACTGAAAAGGTTTCATACACACTACTGAAAAGCTCTCATATAGACTACTAAAAAGCTTTCATACATACTACCGAAAAGCTTTCAAACACACAACTGAAAAGGTTTCATACAAACTACTGAAAAGCTCTCATATACACTACTGAAAAGCTTTCATACACACTACTGAAAATCTTTCATACATACTACCGAAAAGCTTTCAAACACACAACTGAAAAGCTTTCATACACACTACCGAAAAGCTTTCGAACACACAACTGAAAAGCTTTCAAACACACAACTGAAAAGGTTTCATACACACTACTGAAATGCTCTCATATACACTACCGAAAAGCTTTCAAACACACTACTGAAAAGGTTTCATACACACTACTAAAAAACTCTCATATACACTACTGAAAAGCTTTCATACATACTACTAAAAAGCTTTCATATACACTACTAAAAAAAATTCTAATACAATACTGAAAAACCTTTTTAGTTGTGTACATAAAAGCTTTTCAGTAGTATGTATGAAACCTTTTTAGTAGTGTATATGAAAGCTTTTCAGTTGTGTGTACGAAAGGTAAAGCTTTTTACCAACAGTTCTCACTACTTCGTATGAGAGCTTTTGAGTAAGTTATATAAAAGGTAAATGTTTTCACTAGTTTATGTGAGAGCTTTTCACTAGTGTTTTTATGCACTTTTTTGTATATTATATGGAAGAGTTTAATCTAATATGTTTATATGGAAGTTAATTCTGATTTATGTCACTGGGGAACCCCAAACAATGCTGTCCATAATGTTCTTCACTTTATGAAGAATTCTTCTTTGTGAAACAATTTTCAGAGGTTCTAGAAGAGCTCCTAGAACATAGCTGACCTTCTTTAATAACTTGTTAAGCTTTTTTTTTTTTTTTTTTTAAGTAATTTACTCTGATGCGGTTACCGCAGCAGAGGATGTAGAAAGGGATCACACGCTCCACAACAGACTTTAGGATATGTAGCATCTTGTTGCAAACACTCAAAAACATCAGTATCTTTAGTAAGTACAATATGCTCTGTCCCTGTTCTTTTAGATCACTTCACAGTTGCGTCTCCGGTCTAGTTTGTTGTCCAGGTGAACACCAAGGTATTTATACTACTCCACCATCTCTACTTCGTCTCCCATGATGTTAATAGGATTCAACATGTTCCTGTTTCTGCAGGTAACAAGATTCTAATACTGGAAGTCAGAGGTGTAAAGAGTAAAAAGGAATAGTGAGAGCATCAATTTCATCATATAATTTCAGAATGATCCCTTCCCAAATGAAAAGTATCCTTATTTTTTCTTACTCCATACTGGGACATTTTATCTGTTACGGCTTCTAAACAAATTGGTCAGAAGATATTGCTAGCTGTAACCGTTACGGTTATTTGGTAAGACATGAGGAGGTCAAAGTCTGCTCAATATTTATGAATCTTTAGCATTTCTAAAAATGGAATATGGCCATCATCACTTTGTCTAAAAAAAGTCTTCAACACCCCTCAAGTCTGTCCCAAAAGCGCAAGGAATTCTGTCTCTGAGGACTGAGCAAGAGAATCAGGTTGCCTAGAGTGCAGAGCTTTGTCATCTTGGCAAAAGGTAGGTGTGTGTTCCTCTGCACATAGAGTGAAGGTAATACTTTTGGAGAATGGTTTTGCAATAGAAAAACAAAGTAAAAGACAGGACTAAGTTAGGAATCTCATAAATGTTTCTCTTGAAATTTAGTCTCACTACTTAGTTTCAACTTAATTGTCATTGAGAAAACCTTAGAAGACATACCTTGAGTTCCTCGACAGCCTTGCGTAGCTCTTCTGGTGTCTTGTATGTGAAATCTCTCTCCAGATAGTCTTCCTCTGCCTGGTTTATCCATTCTTGCATTTCTTGCATCTCTTTCCTCAAAGCCATAGTCTTGTCCAGGCCCCCTTTGAGGGCAGACTTCTTTGCATAGGCCTAAACAGAGTAGAGAGGTGAATAACGTCAAGGATAAATAAAGTCAGACATAAATGTTCTGTGTGCAGTTGTTGCAGACCTGTTTGCAGACATTCTCCCACTGAGCATTCAGCTGATCCAGTTCCTTTTGGATGTGAATGGCATAGGGTGGCTCTGCTTCTTTCTTAAGGTATAGACCCACTTCGTTGATTCCGTTCACGCTGGGTTGGATGGTGTGGATGTCGTTTACTAGAGCCTATTTAAAATAAAAGGGCACAAGAGATAGAAAATGGCCTGGGTGATTGGTAACCATTAACCATCGATTTTGTTTGCAATTCAGGTTGATTTTTCAAAAACCCTTCAAGTAATATAATCGTCAGTTGAACAAAAAATGTATCTAGATTGTACATTCATGCTTGTTTTCTTACAGTGCACTGCTCTAACTGTTTTTCCAGAGCTTCAGAGTCACCCAGAGCAGGCCACTCCTCATTCAGAAAGACATCCACATCTGCCATCCATTTCTTCAGAGTCTTCACGTCATTCTAGCAGAGGGAGGTGGACAGAGAGTCAGACTAGTACATAACATGTACATTTGGTTCATTTTTGTCAAAAACATTGCTTTGGTTTCACCTCAAACTGCATCAGTTTGGCCATGAGCTCCTGGATTCTCTGGACACTGTCTGCCAGAGTGGAGCCAAGTCGTCTCCAGCGCGCCATTATGCCATCCATCTCTATACGATACCTACAAAACAAGAGGAACTCCTGTGGGCATCTTATCTCCACATCTGCTAAAAATCAAAGAAACTAAACCCATGTGAAGGGATAAAGCTGCACCCAGATATATTTTTTAAAATGCCATCAGTGTGGTTTGTAGCTAAAACGCCAGGGCTAATGGCTCTTTACAGACAGGAGCTGGTTTGGGCTGTGAACAAGAGGTTGTTATATCCTCCTTGGCAGCGATCTAAAGCAGCCATGAGTATTCTCATTGCATGTTGAGTGAATTCAACCTACTTGGCCTTCTAGCAATGTTTTATTTAGTTTCAGAAGATATCTCTGTGTCCCCCTATGCTTCGTATAATGACCTTTAAATATGACATCAGGATTCTGCCAAAAGTGCACACACGTAATAAATACTCCTATGAGCAGCTTTACTTTATACAAACGCTCGTAAACTTTTTGTCGATGTCCGATGACCTTTTTTAAAAGACAACCTATATTCACTCAGAATCCAGAATTCATCCCGACCATGTTATATCAAAAAATAACTTTCCTAACCAACCTTCCAACTCTTGAAGCAAAGCGGTTAGAGAAGGAGCAAGAACTCACGTGGGTGATATGTTGGGGCTTCATTGGGGTGCATGTGACATGTTAAATATGTGTGTGAGGAGTAGTTGCTCATAGGATTATTTATTGTGAGCAGTTTTGGCAGAATCCTGGTGCCATATTTAAAGCTAAAGGTGTCTGAGACCACAGCACACCTGAAATTAACCAGAAACCAATTAGCAGGAAACGCTCTGCATGTTCAATGCTCTCCTAAGGCTTATGATGTTAAGTCTTACTTTTGACTTATGTCTGCTGGAGCTTTCTGGAAGACCTGCTCCACGGCTGATGTCAAGTAGTCCACCTCCCTCTGGTGTTCAGCCAGGGACACCTGAAGAGCCTGAGAGGGAAGCAGAGACAAACACCATGGGAAAGATAAGACCAAACAAACAGCAAAACAGGGGTTATTGAAGATTCTGTATGAAGAGATTTATATGGAAAGAGTCTAAATCCAGAGAGTAAAGGAAAAATTACATTAAATCTTTTAGGATATAACTTTTACACAGCAACTTCTGTTTGCACTTTTTTTTTTTCAAACCTCATTCATATGACTTAGACCTAGATAGATTTTATTTCGTGATTTTGAACACACAAGTGTAAACAAAAATACATTTGTTAAGAAAAGCTCTCTAGACTATTTCATCTTTAAAGTGCCCCTTCATAAGGTAAGCAGCAGTGATAAAAACATTGTGATGAAAAACAGTAATTTAAACATATGACTGTACAGTTACAGTTCTAACATTCATTTTATTTATTTATTTATTTTATAGGTGCCAGATGTGTTAATTTCTGACTAAATAAATTAAGAAATTGTTCTTACACGTTTTAAACTTATTTATGAGTTAAAACAAACCAGGAACCCATTAGGTTACTGAATCTATAAATTGTGATAAACATGTATGTTGTTATGTTGCTCTGAAATACTGTTAGGCTATTCATTACTTTGTTTTAGTGAAGTGGACGCTTGGGTATACGTCTCTGTTTTAAATGTATTCTAGCAGTAAATTATATTAAAAAAACGATCTTTTAAATGATAAATATTCAAAACATAATTTTAATTATGCAATATCATTTTTAATTATTTAACCATGCATTTTTTAACTTTTAGTATTTGAATTCTGTATTAGAAAAATATATATATATTACATCCTTTTTACATGGTACATTTTTTTTTTTTCATGGGATTCACACTTATTTTATAATGTATAAAAAAAATCTATTTGTTATTTCACTCTATATTTATTGACAAATAAAATTAAACAAGTAATATTTACATATATTTTTTGAATGACAATAAAGTATTAGCTTAATTGTTTAACAGTTAATTTTAAATATTTTAATCGGATTTTATGCTATCTAATTGTGCATTTTATAGTGTATGATATTTAAATTGCATAAAAATAAATAAAGGATACATCTACTCATTTCATGGTACACATATCTATTTCATGGGATTAACATTTATTTATCCTCTGGGATTACATCACAGTGATTGTGAAAACCATCTTGAAATTCCCCACTTGATGCCTTGTGACCCCCTACTTTAGAAATCCCATCTTTAAAAGTATGTGGGTTGACTCCAGTTATTGAGTTATGCAAGTGGTAGATCCTTTAAGGAGCTGTGGATTTAATCTGTCATAATCTATCATTTAATTTTTTTCAATCATCTTGACATCTTTAATCTGACCCCCCCATCACCTGAGGAATGGCTAATTTATTTCACATATAATGAGAGCTATAGGCTACGAGTGGAACTGAATAAATAACAGCTTATCAGCATGCAGGATGAATCCCTAATTATTATCTGCAACTCTAATTAAGTCCAGGCTACAGTAAGAGGCTACTATCAAATGCAGCTGACATGCACACATATTCATGAATGCACACTTGCAGCTCCAATGTACTCTTCACTTCATTTAAAATCAAAATCAATGTGACTAATCCGAAATTGTATCTTTTTGAAAGCAGATATGGATTATTGTTACGTATCAGGGCCTGAAATGTTATTTCTCTGGCGTTAAAATTGGCAGCGTAATGGCTTTCCCGCTGCTGCGTGAATGTGTGTGTGCATTTCTAGGTAGATATTGAGATAAAGCGAGACAGCGACTCGCTCCATTGGGATTTTGCTCATCCGCCTCCTGTAATTACAGGGTTGCAGACACACACATTCACTTTACACGTACCCCTTGGTTAAAAAGCCATCTCTACAGAGGGGGTTTATTTTTTTTTTCTGACTTAGATTTATTTTTAGAGAGCCTGACCAAAACACTGGAGACCTAATAATAAGTTGAAGCTTATTTTCAATCAATCAACCATAAAGAAGGTTGCTGGGTTTTGGTTGGACTTAACAACACACAGGTTCTAAATTAGCCACTTTTGGGCATCATGGTGATAGTGGTATACTCTATGTGCCACTGTATATGTAGCCAATTCTAGAGGGCTGTACAGTGCAAGCATCAGTGTTTCCAACTCCACTACAAAAAAATTCGCTACTGGCTGTCCTAAAAGGCGCTATAAGGCGCTTTTTGCATATTTCATGTCATCCAACTGTAGGAGATTCAAAACCGCTCCAATTCCCTTTTTTTGGTCTGTCAAAGCAGTGCAGAAATATAGCTGAGGGTATTAGCATTTTATAGAAAGAAACAAGAAAACTAAATAAACATAGATAAGCCATTTATTTCCACACTGCATGCCAGTTAGGCTGTGTTCACACCGCAGCCTGAAGTGCCCACATGTGACCTGCATCTGAACAACATAGATCCTATTTTTTCCAATGCGACCCAGGCCACTTGGCTATGTGGTCCTGAATCCGATACGAAGCTGATCTTTTCCAACGCGACCTGTGTCTGAACCGCCAGGTCCCATCCATCCTGTCTGAACTAGGGGTGTGCAAAATAATCGTCATGATGATGCATCGTGATTCTAATTTTCATGATCTACTGCATCGATTCTTGANTGTACATAAAAGCTTTTCAGTAGTATGTATGAAACCTTTTTAGTAGTGTATATGAAAGCTTTTCAGTGGTGTGTACGAAAGGTAAAGCTTTTTACCAACAGTTCTCACTACTACGTATGAGAGCTTTTGAGTAAGTTATATAAAAGGTAAATGTTTTCACTAGTTTATGTGAGAGCTTTTCACTAGTGTTTTTATGCACTTTTTTTTGTATATTATATGGAAGAGTTTAATCTAATATGTTTATATGGAAGTTAATTCTGATTTATGTCACTGGGGAACCCCAAACAATGCTGTCCATAATGTTCTTCACTTTATGAAGAATTCTTCTTTGTGAAACAATTTTCAGAGGTTCTAGAAGAGCTCCTAGAACATAGCTGACCTTCTTTAATAACTTGTTAAGCTTTTTTTTTTTTTTTTTTTAAGTAATTTACTCTGATGCGGTTACCGCAGCAGAGGATGTAGAAAGGGATCACACGCTCCACAACAGACTTTAGGATATGTAGCATCTTGTTGCAAACACTCAAAAACATCAGTATCTTTAGTAAGTACAATATGCTCTGTCCCTGTTCTTTTAGATCACCTCACAGTTGCGTCTCCGGTCTAGTTTGTTGTCCAGGTGAACACCAAGGTATTTATACTACTCCACCATCTCTACTTCGTCTCCCATGATGTTAATAGGATTCAACATGTTCCTGTTTCTGCAGGTAACAAGATTCTAATACTGGAAGTCAGAGGTGTAAAGAGTAAAAAGGAAAAGTGAGAGCATCAATTTCACCATATAATTTCAGAATGATCCCTTCCCAAATGAAAAGTATCCTTATTTTTTCTTACTCCATACTGGGACATTTTATCTGTTACGGCTTCTAAACAAATTGGTCAGAAGATATTGCTAGCTGTAACCGTTACGGTTATTTGGTAAGACATGAGGAGGTCAAAGTCTGCTCAATATTTATGAATCTTTAGCATTTCTAAAAATGGAATATGGCCATCATCACTTTGTCTAAAAAAAGTCTTCAACACCCCTCAAGTCTGTCCCAAAAGCGCAAGGAATTCTGTCTCTGAGGACTGAGCAAGAGAATCAGGTTGCCTAGAGTGCAGAGCTTTGTCATCTTGGCAAAAGGTAGGTGTGTGTTCCTCTGCACATAGAGTGAAGGGAATACTTTTGGAGAATGGTTTTGCAATAGAAAAACAAAGTAAAAGACAGGACTAAGTTAGGAATCTCATAAATGTTTCTCTTGAAATTTAGTCTCACTACTTAGTTTCAACTTAATTGTCATTGAGAAAACCTTAGAAGACATACCTTGAGTTCCTCGACAGCCTTGCGTAGCTCTTCTGGTGTCTTGTATGTGAAATCTCTCTCCAGATAGTCTTCCTCTGCCTGGTTTATCCATTCTTGCATTTCTTGCATCTCTTTCCTCAAGGCCATAGTCTTGTCCAGGCCCCCTTTGAGGGCAGACTTCTTTGCATAGGCCTAAACAGAGTAGAGAGGTGAATAACGTCAAGGATAAATAAAGTCAGACATAAATGTTCTGTGTGCAGTTGTTGCAGACCTGTTTGCAGACATTCTCCCACTGAGCATTCAGCTGATCCAGTTCCTTTTGGATGTGAATGGCATAGGGTGGCTCTGCTTCTTTCTTAAGGTATAGACCCACTTCGTTGATTCCGTTCACGCTGGGTTGGATGGTGTGGATGTCGTTTACTAGAGCCTATTTAAAATAAAAGGGCACAAGAGATAGAAAATGGCCTGGGTGATTGGTAACCATTAACCATCGATTTTGTTTGCAATTCAGGTTGATTTTTCAAAAACCCTTCAAGTAATATAATCGTCAGTTGAACAAAAAATTTATCTAGATTGTACATTCATGCTTGTTTTCTTACAGTGCACTGCTCTAACTGTTTTTCCAGAGCTTCAGAGTCACCCAGAGCAGGCCACTCCTCATTCAGAAAGACATCCACATCTGCCATCCATTTCTTCAGAGTCTTCACGTCATTCTAGCAGAGGGAGGTGGACAGAGAGTCAGACTAGTACATAACATGTACATTTGGTTCATTTTTGTCAAAAACATTGCTTTGGTTTCACCTCAAACTGCATCAGTTTGGCCATGAGCTCCTGGATTCTCTGGACACTGTCTGCCAGAGTGGAGCCAAGTCGTCTCCAGCGCGCCATTATGCCATCCATCTCTATACGATACCTACAAAACAAGAGGAACTCCTGTGGGCATCTTATCTCCACATCTGCTAAAAATCAAAGAAACTAAACCCATGTGAAGGGATAAAGCTGCACCCAGATATATTTTTTAAAATGCCATCAGTGTGGTTTGTAGCTAAAACGCCAGGGCTAATGGCTCTTTACAGACAGGAGCTGGTTTGGGCTGTGCACAAGAGGTTGTTATATACTCCTTGGCAGCGATCTAAAGCAGCCATGAGTATTCTCATTCCATGTGGAGTGAATTCAACCTACTTGGCCTTCTAGCAATGTTTTATTTAGTTTCAGAAGATATCTCTGTGTCCCCCTATGCTTCGTATAATGACCTTTAAATATGACATCAGGATTCTGCCAAAAGTGCACACACGTAATAAATACTCCTATGAACAGCTTTACTTTATACAAACGCTCGTAAACTTTTTGTCGATGTCCGATGACCTTTTTTAAAAGACAACCTACATTCACTCAGAATCCAGTATTCATCCGGACCATGTTATATCAAAAAATAACTTTCCTAACCAACCTTCCAACTCTTGAAGCAAAGCGGTTAGAGAAGGAGCAAGAACTCACGTGGGTGATATGTTGGGGCTTCATTGGGGTGCATGTGACATGTTAAATATGTGTGTGAGGAGTAGTTGCTCATAGGATTATTTATTGTGAGCAGTTTTGGCAGAATCCTGGTGCCATATTTAAAGCTAAAGGTGTCTGAGACCACAGCACACCTGAAATTAACCAGAAACCAATTAGCAGGAAACGCTCTGCATGTTCAATGCTCTCCTAAGGCTTATGATGTTAAGTCTTACTTTTGACTTATGTCTGCTGGAGCTTTCTGGAAGACCTGCTCCACGGCTGATGTCAAGTAGTCCACCTCCCTCTGGTGTTCAGCCAGGGACACCTGAAGAGCCTGAGAGGGAAGCAGAGACAAACACCATGGGAAAGATAAGACCAAACAAACAGCAAAACAGGGGTTATTGAAGATTCTGTATGAAGAGATTTATATGGAAAGAGTCTAAATCCAGAGAGTAAAGGAAAAATTACATTAAATCTTTTAGGATATAACTTTTACACAGCAACTTCTGTTTGCACTTTTTTTTTTTCAAACCTCATTCATATGACTTAGACCTAGATAGATTTTATTTCGTGATTTTGAACACACAAGTGTAAACAAAAATACATTTGTTAAGAAAAGCTCTCTAGACTATTTCATCTTTAAAGTGCCCCTTCATAAGGTAAGCAGCAGTGATAAAAACATTGTGATGAAAAACAGTAATTTAAACATATGACTGTACAGTTACAGTTCTAACATTCATTTTATTTATTTATTTTTTTTATAGATGCCAGATGTGTTAATTTCTGACTAAATAAATTAAGAAATTGTTCTTACACATTTTTAAACTTATTTATGAGTTAAAACAAACCAGGAACCCATTAGGTTACTGAATCTATAAATTGTGATAAACATGTATGTTGTTATGTTGCTCTGAAATACTGTTAGGCTATTCATTACTTTGTTTTAGTGAAGTGGACGCTTGGGTATACGTCTCTGTTTTAAATGTATTCTAGCAGTAAATTATATTAAAAAAACGATCTTTTAAATGATAAATATTCAAAACATAATTTTAATTATGCAATATCATTTTTAATTATTTAACCATGCATTTTTTAACTTTTAGTATTTGAATTCTGTATTAGAAAAATATATATATATTACATCCTTTTTACATGGTACATTTTTTTTTTTCATGGGATTCACACTTATTTTATAATGTATAAAAAAAAATCTATTTGTTATTTCACTCTATATTTATTGACAAATAAAATTAAACAAGTAATATTTACATATATTTTTTGAATGACAATAAAGTATTAGCTTAATTGTTTAACAGTTAATTTTAAATATTTTAATCGGATTTTATGCTATCTAATTGTGCATTTTATAGTGTATGATATTTAAATTGCATAAAAATAAATAAAGGATACATCTACTCATTTCATGGTACACATATCTATTTCATGGGATTAACATTTATTTATCCTCTGGGATTACATCACAGTGATTGTGAAAACCATCTTGAAATTCCCCACTTGATGCCTTGTGACCCCCTACTTTAGAAATCCCATCTTTAAAAGTATGTGGGTTGACTCCAGTTATTGAGTTATGCAAGTGGTAGATCCTTTAAGGAGCTGTGGATTTAATCTGTCATAATCTATCATTTAATTTTTTTCAATCATCTTGACATCTTTAATCTGACCCCCCCATCACCTGAGGAATGGCTAATTTATTTCACATATAATGAGAGCTATAGGCTACGAGTGGAACTGAATAAATAACAGCTTATCAGCATGCAGGATGAATCCCTAATTATTATCTGCAACTCTAATTAAGTCCAGGCTACAGTAAGAGGCTACTATCAAATGCAGCTGACATGCACACATATTCATGAATGCACACTTGCAGCTCCAATGTACTCTTCACTTCATTTAAAATCAAAATCAATGTGACTAATCCGAAATTGTATCTTTTTGAAAGCAGATATGGATTATTGTTACGTATCAGGGCCTGAAATGTTATTTCTCTGGCGTTAAAATTGGCAGCGTAATGGCTTTCCCGCTGCTGCGTGAATGTGTGTGTGCATTTCTAGGTAGATATTGAGATAAAGCGAGACAGCGACTCGCTCCATTGGGATTTTGCTCATCCGCCTCCTGTAATTACAGGGTTGCAGACACACACATTCACTTTACACGTACCCCTTGGTTAAAAAGCCATCTCTACAGAGGGGGTTTATTTTTTTTTTCTGACTTAGATTTATTTTTAGAGAGCCTGACCAAAACACTGGAGACCTAATAATAAGTTGAAGCTTATTTTCAATCAATCAACCATAAAGAAGGTTGCTGGGTTTTGGTTGGACTTAACAACACACAGGTTCTAAATTAGCCACTTTTGGGCATCATGGTGATAGTGGTATACTCTATGTGCCACTGTATATGTAGCCAATTCTAGAAGGCTGTACAGTGCAAGCATCAGTGTTTCCAACTCCACTACAAAAAAATTCGCTACTGGCTGTCCTAAAAGGCGCTATAAGGTGCTTTTTGCATATTTCATGTCATCCAACTGTAGGAGATTCAAAACCGCTCCAATTCCCTTTTTTTGGTCTGTCAAAGCAGTGCAGAAATATAGCTGAGGGTATTAGCATTTTATAGAAAGAAACAAGAAAACTAAATAAACATAGATAAGCCATTTATTTCCACACTGCATGCCAGTTAGGCTGTGTTCACACCGCAGCCTGAAGTGCCCACATGTGACCTGCATCTGAACAACACAGATCCTATTTTTTCCAATGCGACCCAGGCCACTTGGCTATGTGGTCCTGAATCCGATACGAAGCTGATCTTTTCCAACGCGACCTGTGTCTGAACCGCCAGGTCCCATCCATCCTGTCTGAACGTCATTAATACCCGACAAAGGTCACTATTCTGGGTCTTGCTATGAAGAAGCAGCAAGAAAAACAACAACCATGGCGGACGATGATGCGGAGAGCAGTATTTTTTTTAACCATCTTGAAAAGATTGAGGTTTTAAGGTTTAGAATCATCGATAGATGCTCTCCAGCACTACCATCCATGTTTACTTCCGTAAACCCAGAGCCACTGGCTTGTGATGTCATTGCATGCAATAGAGGATGCAGTGTTGTATGACTGCAGTTCACACAGGAGATCACATACAAGTTGCATATATTTGGAAATGTGAACGGCAACATAAAAATATCGGAACGTGACGTAGCCTTAGTGTCTGTAAAGAAGAAGAAAGTAGCCAATAGCAGAAAGGGAGAGAAATTTAAAAAAGCACTGGTTCATTTTTATAAAACTTGCTTTATAAATTATTTTTAATCCTTAATGAGATTAGTAACAGCTTAGAAGTTTAAAGATTCTCTCTCTCTACTGCGGCGCAGCGTGCAGGCAGACTGCCCTGCATGAATCAAGACAGCAGACAAGAGAGAGGAGAGCAGGAGGCGGGAGTGAATCTAATCGCTCTGGAGAGCAGAGTTCTGTGCTTCTATATGTTGTCGCCGAAGTTTTCAGTACCAGAAAAAAAGTTGC